TTTTTGTACATACCCTTTTGCTACTAGACGGGCCTTGTACTTATTAATACTCCCATCAGAATTTCTCTTGAGTTTGAATTACCCATTTTAAGCCAATTGGCTTTGTTCCTACTGGCAAGTCAACAAGGTCCCAAGTTTTGAACCTTTCAATAGAACTTAGCTCATCTTCACAAGCGCTTGTCCACTCTTTAAACTGTTTTGCTTCATGAAAGTTTCTTGGTTCATTATTCAGACACATAAGCAATGTTTCTCCTTCTTCTTCTGCAAGTAGGACGTAGTCTTGAAGATATTTAGGTTTATTAATCTGTCTCTGAGTTCTTCTTAAAACGGGTGAATGAGGATCACTTGTTCCTGCAGCCTCATGTTCTGTTTCCTGACCATGCCCTGTTTCGGTACTCTGCTCTTCTTCAGACTCATCATGTTCAATCTCTTCCAGATTTTGTCCTCTTTCTCCAATGTGTTCAGTCTCTCCATGTGTTTCAACAGTCTGTTCTGTTTCTCGAAGTCCATGATTTCCGAAAGCTTCAAACGTAATCTTAAAGCTTCCATCACTGTTTTGCTCTGTATTATTATGTTTCCAGCTCCATCCCTTTGTTTCATCAAACACGACATCACGACTAACTACTATTTTTCTTGCTTGAGGATCGAGTAATCGATAAGCTTTGGATCCATGTTCTATTCCTAGGTGAATAAGAACACGTGACCTGTCATCTAATTTCTTCAAGTGATGTTTATCCACCTTTGCATACGCAGCACATCCAAAGACTCGAATATGAATGATTGCTGGCTTCTTGTCTCGAAAATATTCATAAGGAGTTTTATCCTTTAAAGCTCGTGTTGTAACTCTGTTTAAAAGATAGGTAGAATGCCTAATAGCTTCTCCCCATAGGTAATTTGGCATGTGCATATGTTTTAAAATACTTCTCGTCATCTCCATCAAAGTTCTATTCCGTCTTTCAACAACTCCATTTTGCTGTGGAGTATACGGAGCAGTGAGATGCCTTTTGATGCCAGATTCTTCACAAAAAATGTTGAACTCATGAGAAACAAACTCTCCTCCTCTGTCTGTTCTTAGAGTTTGAATTCTTGCTTCAGATTCTTTCTCAACAAGGTTCTTGAAGTTTTTAAACTTTTGGAAAGCATCTCCCTTTTCTTTTAACAAAACTGTCCACATGTATCGAGAATAATCATCTATTAGCACGAAGATGTACCTATTTCCAGCACTGGTACTTGGCGTTATTGGTCCACAGAGATCACCATGTATGAGTTCCAGCTTTTTAGTTGCTCTGTAAGTAGATTCTTGTGGGAATGCTGCTCTGGTTTGCTTTCCAAGCAAGCATGAACCACAAATTTCTTTTTCAAGAACAAACGTTGAAGCTCCTTGAACCAATTCCTTGTCTATCATGGCTTTTATGGTCTCTAGACTTACATGTCCCATTCTTGCATGCCATAGGCTTGATTCACTCACAGTTGTCAGATATAAGCAAGTGTTGTCCTTTAAACCCATTTTAACCTTGTATAAACGATTCTTGGACCTCTCTGCTTTTACAAGTAACTTTCCATCACGATCATGCATTGTCAAGTAGCCATCTTTCAGTCTTATGTCACATCCTGATTCTGTAGCCTGTCCTAGACCTATTATATTGCTCTTCAGATCAGGTATGAAGTAAACATCGGTCATTACTCTTGATCTTCCGTTTAGGTCTATGAATGCAATCGTCCCCTTTCCTTTAATATCAATGCGTGAGTCGTCTCCAAATCTTACCTTCCCAGTAACAGAGTAATCAAGCTTATCAAAGTATCTTCTATCACCTGTCATGTGGTTGCTAGCTCCATTATCAAGGTACCACACGTTTTCTCCATCAATGTTTGTCTCAAACTTGCTAGGAACGCAACTTTTCTCATTTAAGTAAACAATTTCATGCATCATAAGTTCATCTGCGACTTGAGTATCCTTTTGTTCATTCTCTTGTGCTTCTTGCAATTTTAGTAAGCGGTCAGGACAGTTTGAGGCATAGTGACCGATCTTATCACATCTATAACATGTAATTTGTGATGAATCTCGACCACCATAACGTCCTCGTCCTCTTCCTCTGTAAAAGTTTCTGCCTCCACGTCCTCTGCCCCTGTATTCATTGTTGTAATCTCGATTTGAGTAGCTGTTTTGAGAATCCATATTGGTGTACAACAGCTTGCTTTGATCCTCATGTGAATCTTCTTCTTCGATGACACGTTCTTCATAGACCTTAAGACGTCCAACTATATCGTCAAAAGTTGTAGTATTAAGATCTAATACTTGTTCTAAAGCAGCCACAATATGGATATATTTTTTCCGAGGAATACTTTTCAAAAATTTCTTAACAAATCTTGATTCTTCAATGTTTACACCTAGGGTAGATGATTTTGATGATAATCTCAGATAACTTTCCTGCAAAGTCATCAATCTTCTCAGTAATCCTTCATCTTGAGGCGGTCAAATTCAGCCATAAGAGTTTGTAACCTAGCATCCTTGACCCTGTCTGCTCCCACATGCCGTGCTGGAATCGAATCCCATACCTTCTTAGCTGTGTTAAGTTCTCCTATTTGTAGTACTAGGGCTTCAGGAATCGACTGGAAAAGCAAAGCAGTGGCTACATCGTTCTTCTCCACATCAATCGGGTTTGATGGTGTTTCTATAACCTCCCAAGCTTTATGAACTTTGAGTGCTGACCTCATTCTTATGGCCCATACCGTATAATTTGTTGCGTTTAGCATAGGACATTTAATTGAGGAAGATCCTCCTCCTTCTTTGCCTTTTTCGGTCACGGGAATAATATCCCCCATAGCTTCTTCTCGATCTCAAAAAAAAACTCTCACAAAGCTCTGATACCAAATATAGTTTTTAGAAGTAATCAAGAACACAAAACAAAAGAATAACTCTCTTTTATTACTTAGGAAACTCTCTCAAAACCTAAGCCTCTCTCAATCACTTCTCAAAACTCTCTAAAACCACACAAGTCATATCACAACTCGATATGTCCTTATATAACAAACCCTATGACCTAATCATATCTCAATTAGGAAAATACAAAGATCGTTCTAGATAAGTCCTAGAGGATTTACATTTATCTTCTCATAAAACCAAAGACTTGCGGTTTAAGTAATCCTCCGGTTAAGCTTCTCTCAAGCTTAAACCAACACTTTCAATTGAGAAGAGAGGCTAAGAGCATGGGCAGTGGGGCAAGCAGGTGGATGTGAGTCTTGGGGTGTAAGTATTAAAAAAACGAAAAAATTGTCTCTCTCTTCACACCCGGGTGTAAGTTTACACTCGGGTGTAACACTTTTTCTCTCTATCTCTCTCTTTCTTTCTCTTTCTCTTTTCTCTTTTGCTTTAAATTATAATACTAAAAAAATACTTACACCCACACAAACACATTTGCCACTGTTGATGGTCTAAGTAAGGTTCGACCGATAAGGGTAAGCTTTAAGTAAGCACTATGACATTGACAAGCAATTTATAAAATCTTACGTCAACAAAAGTAAAAAACTCCTCGGCCCTGCTAGCCATTTGCTTGCTCGAACAACTGCACTCTTAACTTCACCCCTACTTCCAAGTTCCAAGCATCTCGAAAGAAGTTTTTTTACATAATAGCCAGATTTGTGCTGAGCATTATCTTCGATAAGCGGCACTATTCCGCCAGAAGGTATATACGCCGTACACCTAACGTGGGGATGATATTCCCCGGTGATGAAAGTTCCGACTTTCCAATGAACTTGGCCATCGATAAGTAGCACAAACATTGTTATACGGAGCGACGGGGATGGAGTATCCCCCAACGAAAGGAGATTCAAAATCCTATTGTTCGAGTTTCTACGGAACATATAAACAATTTGCTCATCAACTACATATACGTCGCAATAATGTGAATCAAATATTTATTTAAATTTCTTTAATATCATTGTAATGCAGAATGGTTCTTATCTTTTCTGATATTTTTAAAAATATATTTCTATGATATGGTCTGAAGTCTGATAATTACCTGATTAACAAAAGCACAGATTTCCTTGTAAAGCTTTATAATGTCTTTTTTCAGAATAATTTCGTAATTAGTTCGCAAAAAAAAACAAAAAATTTAGTTCTACAACTCAACATCGGTTTAAATACTCAACGTCCATCTCCCCTGAAAGCCGAACAAATCCGATAATAATCAATCAGAGCCAATCATTGACATTGTCAACTTAATAGTTAATACTAGTAGACACCGAAATGGAACTAGAAAGTCATTAGAGTCGTTCAGTTAAAAGAAACTTACAAGGTATCAGCTAACATGGCACGGATTTTGGCTCTTAGCTCATCCGAAACTTGAGTTGGTTCGTTTCGCGGGTACTGGATGTTATCTTCAGGAGAAGCTTTAAGATCAGACTGATCTGACTTTGAAACAGCCTCCTCTTCCACTGTTTTCTCATCTTTCTTTATACGTTTACTAGACTTGTGTCGATGACCATGCTCATCTTCTGAAGAGTCCTCGTGTTTGCGCCTACTGGATCTGTGTCGGTTGTAATGATGATGTTCATCATCAGATGAATCACGATGTTTATCATGCTTCCTGGATCTGTGATGATGGCTACGCTTGTCCTTAGAATAATCAACGTCTTTGCTATGCTTACTAGATCTGTGTCGGTGCTCACCCTCGTTATCAGAAGAATCATATAGCTCATGCCTATCTGAAGATTTGCTGTATCTGTGTCTATGACGCGAACGGCTGTGATACTCATCATCCGAGGAGCTCGCATGCTTGTGCTTGTCCCGAGAATGTCTGTCCTTGGAAGAGTATCGTGTCTTATGTTTATGCCTAATATGCCGTTTTCTACTAGATGAATGCTTCTTATCAGTCTTGGTTTCTTCTGTCACTTCATCCATGCTGCTCTCTTCCTCTTCTCCTTCTTCTTGTTCCATCTTAACATCTTCATCTCTATGTGATCTCGAACGGTAATTCCTCTTTGGTCGTCTTTCACTGTTACCATCATCTGCTAGTTTTGTCTCAGCTACAGATGGAATCGAGCTACTGTCTCTTTCTTTGGCAGCATTAGCACCTAATCCAGAAATCCCAGAGTCCAACGGTTCAACTGATATGCTTCGCGACGGTTCAGCTTGTTGCACAGGGTGCGCATCAGGTTTTAACTTGGCCACAAACATTTTTGCACGTTTCAATCTTTCTGCCTTCAACTTCTGCTCCTTAGACAAGCCTGCTTCAGATGAATCAGCTTCACTAGGAGCAGTCGAGCCAGAGAGCGATTGACGCTGAAGATTTGGCCAAATGCAGGGGACTTAGATGAAGGGTACTTCAATCATTTC